AGCCCTACATTTTTGTTGCATTGGAACTGTATAATGTGAATTGTGGAAGAAAGTAGATGAATATTCATTTCTAAGAGCATTGTTGTACAACATGTGGCAAGCAAAAGGAGGGAGGGAGAGAGAAGCATCTTCCATGGGGCTGTGGATTGCACTAATTGTTGGTCATATGTACAAGAGAGAGGATATAGAGAAAGAGTGAAGTTAAATTATAAAAAATTATATGGAAACATTCTTCAATGAAGGTGAGCTATAAAAATTAGAGTGGAGGGTATGCTAGACATCCTCCACATTAGGGGCGGAGCTAGCCCTTCAAACTAGGGGGTCCTGGAGTTGAAGGGGCGGGGGCCCCCGAATTTTTTTTTTTTAAAAAACATTATCGGTTAAAATAAGGAAAGTTGATACTTGTGATAGAGAAAGGAAATAAAGAAACATACATTAATGTACAAAGACTTCACAAAAAAATCAAGAAACATATAAAAGAAACTACTAATCTTTAATTTAGCAAAATCATACCTTATTACAAGTGTTCCTTTCAAGTTCTCGTACATTAATAACGTTGTATAACTACATCATCATCAATCATGTCGAATACATCCTTCTGAATATGTACTAGCAAGCTATCACCATTCATTCGATTGCGCAATCGATTCTTGACATAATTCATTACAGAAAATACCCTCTCTACCGTAGCAGTAGCAACTGGAAGAATTAATGCCAATGTCAAAAGTTTGTATAATAACGGGTAGACTTCATGTTTTTTTGTCACAACCAACTTTTGTGCAAGTTCACAAAGGCCTTTTAATCCTCCAAATTCTTCACTAGTGCGCATATCAATGATGTATGTGTCAATTTGATCATCAAGTTCCAGCACATCTGATCCTTCAAAATCTTTCGGATAAAATGTACACATGTGAATTAATTTGCTCTTGTCAAAAGCTGCAAATGAATTATCTGGACACAAACAAGCTACACAAAGAAGTAAGTCACTATTCACCTCAGAAAACCGATTATTCAACTCCTGAAGCTGCATATCAATGACAGAATAAAATAAATCCACACGGAAGTGATGCAAATTTGTCACAGTGATACATCGTGAACGACCCAGAGGTGTATACATATCATCCATGTTAGGGACGGTAATGTCGTGACTTCCACAAAAGGAATTAACCTTCACCAAAAAAGAATCCCAGTCATCATCTCTAAACTTTTGGAGCTGTTGTTTACATATTTTTACCAAACACATGGCATTACCAATATCTAGGTCTTTCTTCTGTAATGTTTTCGACAACTCATTTGAAATTCCTAATATCTTTTTCATTAGATGTAGGCCAAATGCAAACTCAAATGTACGAATTGATGCCAACAAAACCCGTGCTTCACCCTTTTTCCCACAATTTGTATTATCAGTAGCAATTATCTCAATAACCTCAATTGTACTTGCAAACATGAGCATCAGGTTACATAAACATTTGTAGTGTGAGCCCCAACGTGTATCACCAGAACGCTTGATATTAGTTTCTTGATTAAGGCCTCGACCGCTTGATATTTCACCGGCATTTAGTGCTTCAAAAATTTTGAGTCTTTGCATCTCGCGAATAAGATCACACCGCTTAGCAGATCCTCCAACAACATTCACCACACTATCAGCCAAATAAAAGAAAGATTGGATATCACCATGTTTTTTCGCAACTGCTAAAAGAGCTAGTTGAAGTTGATGAGCAAAGCAATGAATGTAGTACGCACTTGGGTTTTCTTTCAAGATAAGTGTTTTCAGACCATTATACTCACCCCGCATATTACTAGCTCCATCATAACCTTGACCTCTCAAATTAGACATGCTTAAGCTATATCTAGAGAACAAGTCGTCAATAGCAAGCTTAAGTGAGATAGCTGTGGTACTTGAAACATGTTGGATGCCAATAAAACGTTCAATTACATACCCATTCTTCACATATCGCAAAACAACTGACATTTGCTCCTTAGTTGCAATATCACGGGATTCATCAACTAGAATAGAAAATAACCCATCACCAATCTCACTGATAATGACCTTGTTAATTTCAAAGGCGAAAGCACTAACGATATCCTTTTGAATATCTGGTGAGGTCAATTTGAAATTTGCAGGAGCATTCTCCAAACAAACAGCATTAATCTGAGGATCGTGATTACACAACCATTTTAGTAGTTCCAGAAAATTTCCTTGATTGCTTGAATCTTCAGACTCATCACTTCCACGAAAAGCAAGCCCCTGTCGTAGAAGATATCGAATACAATCTACTGATGCACCCAGACGAGCTCGATATGCACTTCTTGTTTGTTCTGATTGCTTGAAGAGACAAGACCCAATACTTTGTTCTTGGTGATTGAATGATTCAAACTTAATCCGAGCTAGGTTGTGTGCACTACCAGCTTGTCCAACATGTTTAATGAGCCTACTTTTCTTTTTCCAATTTGAGAATCCACCGACAACAAAACAATTGCGACTTGAACTAAACAGATAGCAATACAAGCAAAATACTGCATTTTTTGCTATACTAAATTCTAGCCAACTATGAAATTCATCATACCAATTACTACTAAATCGTCTATCTTTATTTCTCTTTTTTGACACCAAAAACTCATGATTACGAGGCTGGCAAGGACCTCTTTGCACATATTCCCTTCGAACAACATCCCGAACATTAACATTATAATGATTAATTGGAATTCGCATTCCAGGATCTGAAGGCAATTGTTCTACATTAATCTCATCACTTTCTTCCCCTCCATCCCCAACACCAATTTCATCAATATCTTCAATTTCATTTTCATCACTGTCATTCCCAATCCCAACATCAATCTCATCACTTTCATCCCCTTCATCCTGAATATCAATCTGAACACTCCTTTCATCAATGTTTGGTTCAATCAAAGATGGATGACCTAAACAGACTCGTTTGAAATACTTCTCCATCAGCCTGGGGATTGAATTGAGGAAACTCTTTTACTCAACAATACAACTTCACAATCAACTAAACAAGTAAGGAGCAATCAGAAGTTCAGAACACATAATTAAAAACCATGCCATAAACTCACCAGTCACCAGAGCTTCAGAATCCTAAGTTACAGCAAAATTCTTGCCTCTGCAAACAGCAATCCAGCCAATCCTGGTCTGAAAAACTCAAAATTTGAAGGTTATTGATGCAGCAGAGCTTCAGAAGCATAAGGAACGAAGATTATAAATTGGTGCCTAACCTTCGAAGTTCGAAGCCTCCTGTCGAAGTTCAGACAATGGGAGGCGGAGGCTGAGGAATTCAGAAGGGGGGAGGCTGAGGAAGCAGAGGCGGAGGCGGAGGCTCAGCACAGCAGTAGAGGTGGAGGAGGCGAGACGGAGATGATGAAATGAAATGGGGGCAGATGCTGGTGAAGTGGGTTTTGTTTTTTTGGGTTGGGCTGGGGGCTGGGAGCAAAAAAAATAAATTTGAGCCCAAAAATTAACCGGTCCCTGCTCCACATTTTTCCTTGTCATGTAAGCATTCTGGGATGATGTGGTATACTATTTTGGGCAATCCATAGCCTGTATCTTGAAGTACCTTTTAAAGAGTGGTGTAGAGCAGAAAAGCCAGCATAGGAAAAAGGATTGTGATTTAGGCTCAGAATCAAGGCCCCTCAAAAAATGCAAGCTCTTCATTAATTATGCTTCATATTCTGTATATTGCTGCGTTATATCAAAAGTCAACCTGTGTATTTATTTTGACTTGATTATCTTGTGGTTGCTTCTTATGGTTGACATTTACAGATGGTTCGAGTTCTTGTTGCAACCGCAGTAAGGGAAGCTGCTGCCGGTGCAGAAGAGGACGCACTGCTAAAGTTGATGGATGCCACGTGTAGACGTGCTACTGCTCCGCCTGCACCTCCTGATGGCCTTTGCCTTGTTGATGTAGGATATACAGAATTTGATAAGAAGACTTGCCTTTTTCCTTGAGGTTATGTCCTTGGTCCGTTGACTTTGATTGTTGTGGCATTGACTACATAGAAACTGAATCTCCAAATACATGATGAATTAGCTGGATCAATTCATATTTCTAAATTTTTGTATTTACATTTATTTTCATTTAATCCTATCCAACATTTGAGGTAAATAATACCCGAGTAAGACTGGGATAAAAATTCATTGAATCTTCTTTTGATTCAAATAGTACGGGATTAAAATAATAGTCAACCGGATTAATATAGTATGCTCATGAGTCACGACGTGTTTAAACTGAATTATTCGATGCAATGAATAATAGAGAAAGTAAGTTAATTTGAAATATGAAAATTTACTTAACTAAAATAAAAAACTAAGTTAACTTATTTTGGTAGTAATGCAAGAGTGTATAAAAAAATAAGTGATTTAAATATATTTGTAGATGAAAAGTAAACCTACTTAAAAACAAATTTACTTATAAGTAAATAAGTAACAAATAACTTTTGTGCTAACTTAAATGCTTATTTTAATACAGAGGTAATATTTAATTTTCAATCAACTAAGTTTTTACTTGAAAGTAAGAGAAATTGAATTTGTAGAAGAAGAAATAAAAAAAAGTAACTGTAAACTTAAAATAAAAATATTTTTTATGGTCCCCAAAAAGGATATATTTACATTATAAGACTGTAGTCCAAATATTTCAAAGCTAAGTGGATGGCCTAGCGCAGAGTTCTCATTCATGGATACATGTTTCCACATTCCATGCACCAAAAGAGGGGACATGACAATTTGACTTTACCTTTTACCATCTGTCAAATTCCTTGCAATATCCCTATTCTAGGTTACCTCTTGTCTCCTTTCTCCAATCCCACAAAATTTTAATTTCAGCCTCTTGCATTTCTCTGCCCCAAATTAGCCATTCTCTTCCATAGGAGCCTCTCAAGGGGAGCGCACCCCAAGTGCGCGTACCACCAACACCCTGATCATAACGCGCGCACTATGTTATTAGATGGCTAATCATGCCACCATTTTGTGGGGGCATTCTCGTTTGATGGTTCTACTTTTTATCGTTGTCTTGCATTTTGTCACATGTTCTTGTAAATCGGATGCCAAGATCTTGCTCAAATTAAAGGAGTCCATTAGAGATAGCGGTGCATTGTCTAGTTGGAAAGATTCAAAACCTCCATGCAATGGTGATATTGAGAATTGGGTTGGAATTTTATGTGCAAATGGGACTGTATGTGGAGTGAAGCTGGAGAATATGGGGTTGGGCGGTGTGATTGATGTAGATGTCCTCAAGGAATTGACAAATTTGAGGACTTTAAGCTTGATGAACAACAAATTTGATGGCTCGTTGCCAAATATAACTCAACTTTTTGCTCTGAAATCTATTTATTTTTCCGGCAATCAGTTTTCAGGCGTGATCCCAATTTACATTTTCGATGGGATGTTATCTCTCAAGAAAATTCATTTGGCACGAAATAAGTTTTCCGGTGAGATTCCTCAATCGTTGATCACATTGCCTAGGTTGAGTGAGTTGATGCTTCAGGATAATGAGTTTGATGGAGAAATACCTCAGTTTCAGAATGGAATGTTGAAATTGTTCAATGTTTCCGAGAATGAAATGACCGGTGAAATCCCTCGTAGCCTTGGACATATGAATGTTTCATCATTTTCAGGTACTTTCCTTGTGATATTTTGGTTCTTTAATAATTAGGATCAATAACTGTCCGAAGCGTTATATCTTAGACTACAGACGGGATACAATCATACAAAGAACAGTTTGAGAGGCAATTTTTGTTATAAATTTGCCAAGTATACCTCACTTCCTTTCCATCCCTCCTAAATAGGTAACAAAGACCTATGCGGAGCGCCACTCGAATCATGTGCTCCGGCCAAGCTTTCCATAGGAACAATAATAATTGTCGTGATACTCGTGGCTTTGGCAGTAGCGGCACTCATTGCAGTCGTCATCATTCTCTCCCGGAGGAAGCAAATGCCAGAGCAAGAACGAGCAACAGTATCCCCTCCCGGGCGCCGGAAAGCTTTCTCTACCGATCTAGACAAAATGGAACAAGGGACAGCATCGACAGAGAAAAGTCAAAACGGCAAGAAGGGTGTTAACAATATAAAGCTCACATTTCTTCAAGATGGCAGGGAGAAATTCAATATGGGGGATCTGCTAAAAGCCTCGGCGCAGATTCTGGGCAGCGGCATATTCGGGTCGACATACAAGGCTGCGCTGAACGCCGGACAGGCAATGGTCGTGAAAAGATTCAGGCATATGAATAATGTTGAGAATGAAGAGTTTTACGAACATATGAGAAGATTAGGGAGGGTGAATCACCAGAATGTGCTTCCTATTGTGGCTTTTTACTACAGGAAAGAGGAGAAACTATTGGTTTATGATTTTATGGAGAATATCAGCCTTGCTGTTCATCTCCATGGTAATTTAATTCTCATAATTTGTACCACCACATACATTACTGCATTGTATAGACTTGTTTGGGAAATCAAAACTCTTGGAAAATTCTTAACAAATGTATTTCTATGTTTTGTGCCTTGTTGCAGTTTAGTCGATACTAATTTGGTCTCGTACATTCCATAGGATCAAGAACAGAAGAATAATAATGATATGTTCTTGCAGGTAACACAACTCGTGGGCGTCCATGTCCGGACTGGCCAACCCGTTTGAATATTATCAAAGGAGTATCCAAAGGTCTCTCATACCTCTACAATGAGCTCCCAAGCCTAATGGCACCACACGGCCACCTTAAATCCTCAAACATTCTTCTCGACAGATCCTACAACCCCATGCTCGCAGACTATGGATTGATTCCAGTCGTGAATCAAGACCGTGCACAGGAGCACATGATTGCATACAAGTCGCCTGAGTACAAGAACAACGGCCGGATCACCAAGAAAACCGACGTGTGGAGCCTTGGGATGTTGATTCTAGAGACCATGACCGGAAGATTTCCATCGAGTTTCTTCCAACAAGGTAGCAAAGGAAACGAAACGGATTTGGTAAGCTGGGTTGAATTCATGGTTAAAGAAGGGAACGCAGATGTTGATCAGGTGTTCGATAAGAATATGGGCCGAAAGGATAAGAGTAAAGGGGAAATGACGAAACTTTTGCAGATAGGATTGAATTGTTGTGAAGAAGAAGTGGATAAGAGGTGGGATTTGAAAGAGGCAGTTGAAAGGATTGAACAAGTGAAGGAGAAGGATAATGATCAAGAATATAATTCAAGAGGATTGTCCAAATGATTGATTGATTGTAAAAATAGTATAGTTTTGTAATTCATTTTTACTTAATATATATATGGTTATGGGATATGAAAGGCAACATAGTTTATAACAAATGCAACACACATACACATGTTTTCTGCATCAAAACTGGGATGTTTTTGTTAAGGACGGATCCAGAATCGGATTACATATATATGAAATATTGTGTATTAAAGTAAAAACTATCAATTTTGGTTAAGCCCATTTAAAGTGTTCTAATAAGGTTTCAGTATTTTGGGAACGTCCAATTAAAGTGTGGGCCTTTATGTGTAGAGACCATACATGTTCCTTATTTCATGTTGGACCGAATTAGGTCGATGGGTTGTTAGTATAAATATACAGTTATAGTCCTCGGATCATACGTTTTGGTTTATTTTGTTCTAACTCTCATCAACAGAGAGAAATAATGAACAACGTATTGATCTGGAAGACTAAAATCGCAGGATTCATTCATTGCGATAACCATGTTTGATTCAGGTATGCTTCCTCTTTGGTTTATATTTTCTTGATGATCCAACATGAATGATCGTTATGACGGTAAAGAATTTTCCCAAACACGAGTATCTACGAACGTCTCTAAATCTTAAACATGTCACGAGAAAATGTTAATAGGATGAAGTGCTACATGGTTGGTTGTATTTCAAGGCGCAATTATCAATAATGAAATTAGAAATATGCTTAATTACTACCAGTTGCAGTTGCAAGGGAAGGGGAAATCCACTCCTAAGATCCTATCTAGCCTTGTCCTAAATCTCTTCCTCTAGCTCTCTCACGCTTGCAACGATGGCAGGAATGTCTGTGCAGACTAAGCCAAATAAGCTTTCCTTAGTTGGCTCAAACTAGTTTTTACTCCAGTAAAATCGGGGATATCTCTCTCTCTGAGCACTGATGTTTGCAAGTATCTTAATCTTCTACCAAGTGAGTATTCTCAATAAATATGTGTCTTAAGTTTTCGATTTTAAAATGGAAGTTGCCAGAATCTAGAAGTGCTTTTATGGGAACTCAAAACTTGATATTCTGTCTTAAAAAGTTAATCTTTATTAAATGTGTGATTTTATCCATTAACATGCCTCCACAAGATGGTGGCTCGTTTGAGCAAACCGATCTTGAAATTCGTATGCTCATTTTCTCGAGTCTTAATCAAATAGAATTGCATGTTAGAGTTTAATGGACTTTGATACTATGTTAAGATTTGGGGTTGAAAGTTACTAGTTCAACCCTAAAGTCACATAATAGGTGAATAACGCAGAATTAAGTTTATCAATTAAAAACAAGAAGTCACATTTTGATTGTTCTAGATGTTTAATCAATCAAGTCAAGTTATCCTATATTGAATTGCCATAATAATAATTAGAGTAATAAATAATACAAGATTTGATGACGGGGAAAACCTTTAACTAGGTAAAAACTTAAAGATGAAGCCAGTAGTTTCCACTAAAGACAATAAGAACTTACAGTATGATCCAAATTAAAAAACCCACTAGACTCACCGATCTAATTTCTGCAATCTCTAAGACCTACTGGAACATGTTTCATTAACACCTGCTCCCGATCTTCTGAAATTGTTTATCTCTTGTGGAACACCAAGAACGTCTCGTTCTTTTACTCTTCTTGTGCTTCTGATCCAACATTCCTCAATCTTCAGCAATCTCTGAAAGCTATCGAGAAAATATATTCCTAATGATATCTAGGAAGTTGGTGTTTTGAATTATAAGAATTCGATGTTTTTCCCAAACTTGTGGTTGATTGATCTCAAAAATCAAAAGGTTAATCTCAATATTTAGATGTACTCTGGAATAATGATATAATGATGTAAAACAATGATCAACTACACCAAAAAATGTAATGACCATTGTGTATTTATAATATGAGGTGTTTAGGTAGTATATAATAGATAAACTCTTGAAAAACGCAAACTAGGATTTCTCGAAAAACACCGTCGCTCGAACACTAGGTTAACGACAGTGAGAGCCGGGCGACAGGCGGTTGACAATAATTTTGCTTTGGACGCTTGAGCATTAGCTAGGTGACGGCTAGCGTAAATCCGACGACTCTTTAGTCTCGTTCCATACTCGAACCCAAAGACTCCTAATTCATCTATACAACCTTCCAAAAGACTCCTTGACTTTTACAACAATCCTTTTGTAACAATCCCATTCTTTTACAATAATCATTTTGTTTAAAGAATTGCCAATACAACTAAAAACCTATCTCTTCCTTCGGCATTTTATGACAAAATTATATAATACAAGTCAAGGATGTAACAACGAAAACTAATCTACCCAAATTCAAACTGAATGTCGGTCTCTTTCTTTTCTTGAAACATGTTTCCTGAAATCAATAACTCAAAATAAACTAAAATTTGAATTTCTATTATCATCTCTCTCCCTTTTTGTCACAAATGACGAATGTAACAACAATATATAATAACTCAAAGATGCAGTTGATAGTATGCACAAACATAATCAATGATCAGTAAACTTTCCCACATACTCATTCAAATCTAAATGGAGTAAATTGTATAAGTGACTCATGTGTGCTAAGTGCCACTAATTCCTAGTGACCAAAATTCTAAACCTTAAATTTGAAAGAAATGATATGCTAAATATTATTGTTAAATAAGTTTATTCCCCTGCGAATAAAACTCTAACAAATAATACATATTAGAGCCTATAAATAAAAGTCATTTTTTTTATGTATATTATTATTTTCTCACCCTTTCTTTGAGTATATATACATTTTCATACAATTTATATTTTTTCTTTTTAAACTTATCATTTTTCTCTTCAATTTTTTACATCTTATGTGCAGACTTTTCTCCATTAAGAGACTAAGATGACTCATGTAACGAGTTTTAGGTCAATGACTCCAAATCAATTAACCGTATGGTGCCAGGTTTTGAGAAACCCTTCGAGTTTAATTACTCGAGTCAAATAGATTTTGACAAAGAGTATAAAATGAAACATTTTTATTTTATTTAAGTGGTGGATATACTAGAGTTTAGGTCTATTAAATTAAGGTCAATCCATATTCAAGGTCACCTTACCAACAGATAGCGGCTATCCCAAATCTCACACACACGATCAATACTTACTCACAAGATCAAAGTGTGTGTAGTGTAAATGTTACATAAAGAATCTTATACTAAGCACTTCACATCAACCTAAACAAAGTAATGGAAAATATGCTACAACACATCAATTAAACTCATACTTGATCACAACACATATGTTCAAGCAAATCATAAATGATGTTATAGTAAAGAATTTTTCCCCTATTTTTTTATTTTTCAATTTTTTTATTATAGAAAATCAAACTGCCTAAAAAGTAAAATCAAACAAAAAAAGAGATGCATGCAATAATGAATAAATCACAATTAATAAGTATAAGCATGTATCAAAAATATCTAATCAATTAGATATAAAAACACTCTTACATTTAAAAGTATCGTGATCGATTTTTAATTTTGTTAGTTCACTCTTTTCACCCAAACCTAACTAGCTCGAGTCAACTCTATCATAAATTTGGTCAAATGACTCACTTTATTAGTAAGAAAGTCAATTCGGCCATAAAATTCTGAATTCTAACTCTGGTGAAATTCTGATTTCTATTTCTATTTAAGAATTTCTGACACCAAGGCCTTATATGTCCTAATTCACGACAATTCAAATGGGTATGCATGAACCTAGGTCCAAAAGTTATGTGGTCACTGATATCTATTTCTAGGTTGGTAGGTCCTACGCTGTCTAATAGGCATTTGTCCTACGATACACTTGTTCTTGAGATCAGAATTATGAACATACATAGGCTGGTTCGTGGAAGGGAAAAAAATGGTTTTGGAAGTATTAGCCATATTATGATCGGTTTGATTATATCCTAGGCCTCCCTTGTTCCCAGTGGGCTTGTTCAACCCCAAAAGACTGTCCAATTTTAGAGATCCACTAGAGAAAGCAAGAAGTTGAGACTTGAAATCTTCGAGTGCGCTTAGAAGGTTTTTAACTTGGATTTCTAATTTCTCATTGTCAACGGCCGGCTCACTAACTCTCCTAGAAAACTTCTTAAGTTCACTTGTAAGATTGTTAATCTTAAATTCTAAGGATCAATTTACAACATCTAATTTGTTGAGACACAAAGTAGACTTTTGAAAGTTAGCTACAAGTTTCTCTCTAACTAACTCAAGTTTATTGACCTTTTTAAGCACTATTTTATTCACCTTTTTAATCTTAAGACTCTCTTCAAATAATTTTTGATAAGCCTCACGAACCTCATCATCATCTTCAGAATCTTCCTCAGATTGCTCACCACCATCTACTTCCTCAACCTTCTCATTATCCTTATCAGATCCACTTTTAATCTTAGCAGGGAAGACCATAAACTTTCCACTCTTCTCATGTGCAGACATCTCACTTTAATTATCTAAGCTAGACTCGTTATCAGTGAGAGTTGCATTTATAGCTTTACCCTGATTTCTCTTACCATTAGGGCACTCACTTCTATAGTGACCAAAACCTCGACGCTTATGACATCTCACATGTTTAGATCTCTTTCTAGACTCATTGGAATCACCTCTATGTTTCTCTTTAGTCTTCTTATTTCTAAACATTTTTTCTGAAAATTCTTAACAAAGTACGTTATTTCTCCATTATTAAGTAATTCTGAATCAGATGAATCATACTCTTCTTCCATAACAGTGTTCAAGGCCATATACTTTTTTTTCTTAGATTGAGATATGGTGAGTTCAAAAGTTTAGAGAGATCTAACCTATTTTTCAATCTTAACTGCATCTAGATCCTTGATCTCCTTGATAGTTGTAACTTTAGGCTTAAATCTTTCAGGTAATAATCTCAGAATTTTCCTAACAATCTTATGACTTAGGAATTTTATCACCTAAGTTAAAAATAGAATTAACTATGTCATTCAAGCTCACTAAATATAGATTACTTGCTTAGCGAAATGCTTATTTTTTTCCTTGAGAAATG